AGAACTCTCTTCTTCTTTTTTAGTGGCTGTAGACTATCCATTGTATGGATGTATTCCATCTAACTAGTCTCCTATTATTGAACATTTGAGACATTTTTATTCTTTTATAATTATAAACAATGTAGTCATTGTAATAATTTTTAACAGTTTTACAAAAAATATATAATTTGCACACTGTAGAGTACATTCAAGTATACAACTCAATGTATACCATAATCCAAATTTAGAATCTTTTAAAAGTTCTGAAAAATTTTTGTATCCATTAGCAGTTGCTTCTCATACTGTATGCTTTAAGGCATTGAATCGAATGAAGCATATTTATGTAGAAAATGTGTTAAAATAAATTAATAGTTTTTCTACTGTGCTTCTTTGGGGTTGGAATATCAAAGTTCTGGAAATATTATTCTTGAACAAGTCTATCCTGTAGGTTAATTGTAAATGATCTTCCATCCTTATTCATTTATTACAGGAATTACAAGTTAACAGGCTTTCAGTTTTTTAAGCACTTTTTTTAAAAAAGGTTTTTGACATAGGGTGCATGCACTTGACAGAGACAGACAGAGATAGGGAACATGAGAAATCAGCCTCCCTCAGGGGGTGGGGAGGATGCCACATGGTAATCCCTTCTTCTCCACTTTCCTCTCTGTGTTTTGGGCATGTATATACGCATGCCTGGCATGATCGTCAAGCCACGGAGTTCAGAACTTGAACTGTGGTCAATCATGTGGGAGTCCAGCTCTGTAACCAACATATCACCTGCTATTTTTAAAAAAAATTAATTTGTGTGGGGCCAGCAGGTGGGGTGGTGGTTGAAGCGCTGGACTCCCACATGGACAAAGGCAGTTCGAGTCCGGACCTGGCACCTTGCTTTCTCATTTTCTCTGTCTCTCTCTCTCTCATTTATTCTGGTGAGTGCACACGTCCTATACCAAAACTGAAAAATAAATTAAATAATTAAATTAAATGTAAAAATTCTTTTTAAAATTAATTTGTGTTACTTTAGTTTCAGAGCCTTCAAATTAATGTGAATTTTAAACCTTTAGGACAGGAAAACAGTAGATAGTGTTTTGTAAATATTCTTTTAGTTGTGGAACCCTTTGTTCTTTATAAACCAGCCATAGAAGAGAGTTGGAAAAATACTGATTAAATTCGCAGACACTGAACTAGTAGAAAAAGTGTTCATAGATTGAGATCCCTTTGCAAATAGCATTTTTAAAAATAAAATAAAGATGTTGGTGAGAATTAAAAGTGGTATAATCTCTGTGGAATATGGTATAATAATTTCAAAAAATTAAACAGAATTACTATATTATCTAACAATTCTACCAGGTACCAATACAAAATTTGTAAAAGCAGAGACTCCCACAGACATTAATATACTCATTTTCTTTTTTAAAAAAATTTTTAAGAGAGATTTTTACTATAGGGTGAGTACGCTTGGTGGAGAGACAGAGAGACAGAAAGTGAGAAATCACCCCCTACGGAGGATGGCCATACTACAATCCCTTCCCCTCTATTCTCCTCTCAGGATTTTGGGCATGCACACATGCATGACTGGTGTGAGTTTTAAGCTGGGTCTAGGACTCCAACTGCGGTCGACTATGTGGGAGTTCAGTGACATAACCATTACACCATCTGCTGGCTCCTATATACTCATTTTCATAGCAGCATTATTCACAATCACCAAAAGGTGGAAGCAACCCAACCGTCCATTGACAGATGAGTGGATTAATAAAACATGGTGTATTCATACAATGGAATATTACTCAGCCTTATGAAGCATGGGAATTTTTATACCTGCAACAACCTGGATAAACCTTGCAGACATTATGATGTGTGAAATAAGCCAGTCACAGATGGACGGACATTGTATTACTTTTCATATATATGTTCCTAAAGTAGTCAAACTCAGAGACAGAAAGCTGAATGTTGATTGTCCAGAATGGAGAGAGAGGAATGGGGAGTTACTGTTCAATAGGTACAGAGTTTCGCTTTGGAAAGATGAGAAAGTTCTAGAGAGATGGTGATGATACTGCATCAGAATGTTAATAATACTTAATGCTATAGAACTACATATTCTACCACAATGAAAAAATACTAAAAATAAATAAATAAAATGAATTGGGAAAGAGAGACCATACCAGTAGACTTATTTCTATGCCAGTGCTAGGTGTTTTAAAGACATCCTCTTCGGCGGCGGGCGGAGGGCCCTGCACGGGCCCACCTGGGCCAGCTGCGGGCCCCCGCCACCCCC